GGCGTTAGTGGCCCAGTGGACTGGCGTGGGCGTGGTTGCCACCGCCACTGTATGGAAACAGAAACCACATTCTGCTGGCCGCTCTGCTGGCGGTCGTGCAGCAGACACAATATTAATGAATCTTGATTATTATTAGTAGAATGAAAATCGGGAATTTACACTGGCGGGGTTCCCCTGTCCTTGTCAGCTCGTCAGCTCTAGCGGCCGAGCAGTGAAATGCAATAATCTACTGGGATGCCTATCGCGATAGCAATACGGGACTGCGATGAACGTAAACAAAACGATGCACTACCGGCCGGTAGCAGACGCAGCAGACGCAGTAGACAAACACAATCTAGAATGGATCTCCAACCGAACTTGTTGTACGGTTTAATAATGATGGTGTTCCTGTCTCGGTCCCACGTCCATCTAGTTTGCTGCGATGATAATCCGCTCACTGCTGAGAATCCTTGTATCCTACACTGCGTGTCGTACCTGTGTGTTCTTTACTTTAGAAAACCTGAAAACCTTAATGACTTTCAAGACTACAACTCCTTTATTACAGCTAGGATGAAACAACTCACGGCAATCAAAAACTTGCAGGGGATGAGTAATGCTGTAAAACGTCATAAACTCATAATGGATATGTTAAAACCAATTTTCAAGGCATGTTGTTGTCATTTGAATTTATCCTTGAAAACCATGTAGAGAGCAGACAAGTTTAATGTGAAGTACTTTATTTAATAATTATTTTTTTTGATGCTATCTAAATTAGGTTCTTGAAGAGACAAGAAAACTGCCAGCACTACGGGACACAGTCTCTGTTGATCTTTCCCATTTCAATCCACACCTACAAGGTATTGTGGTTACAACTGCAGGGTTTAGACTGGCCACGATTGCCATTTATTGGAAACTTTTAAGTGGGTTTTTGAGACCTCTCGTTGGCTGATTTTTAACTAGAATGTGTCAAATAAATGACAATCGTGGCCATTCTAAACCCTGCAACAATAGCCAGCGTTTCTCCTTTGCGTCACTCGTCTGTAGGGGCTCTCACAAGTTACTCAAATGAAAATATCTCACATTCAAATTACTCATAGCAGAACTTTCAATACATACATCTATGAACAGAGATGTTTTGAATCCTACAATGTGTAAATCTTGATTTTAATTGAACTGCTTTTCATTTTTCTGATCTTGTTTTGATTGCAGATGTTTTCCAGTATATGGAGAGTACTGCATTCCTCTGCGACTTTCTTGTGTTTTTCCCTGAAATAACTACTAGATTGTTAAAGAAAAACCTTCTGTGGAGAGTGATGCTGATTGACAGTATTCAGGATGCCATGAACATTAATGTTCAATTTGTAGATATCAATACCAGAAGTCAATTTGAAAAGGTAAGACCTTCTTAAGTTTTTCATAAATGACAGGTTGTAACTACTTTTCATTTCTAACTAACTCCTTTTTCTACCTTCTGGAAGGCAAATAAAATTTTAAGTGACAGGACTGTTCCTACAGAACTCCAGCCCACAGTTGCAAGAAAGTCCAGGGAAACCAAAAAAGTCAGGAGAAAGCCACGCTTGACCTCAAACGAACTGTAAAACAATATATGTACGGATTATTATTTGATTACAAAAATAATTATTTATTGCTATTTTAAATATCACAATTTCATATGGCATTGAAAAAAAAAACTCCTGAATTGTTTTGAACATATGGTTGTGTTATAAACACATTTCTCAGAATCAAACTTAATAATGTATGGTAATAAATAATCCATTATTAATTATGTGAAATCACTTGGAACACTATACGTAGTAAATTAGAGAAACTCTTGTAGAGTAAAGTTTTGGTCATTGACATTAGTAATTTCACATTTCAGTGGACCCAACTTTTGCCCTAAAACAGTGTTCATATCATAGCCCTGCAACAAAGAATTATTTTTAGTTAACCTGTTAAAGTTGGTTCATACACATACAGTTAAATAAAAGTTGCATACATTACCTCCTCTCCAGCGAGAGCTGGGGGAAGCAGTGCCTCAATAGTCTTCTGAAGCAGCTGGAAAAAAAATAAAAATAATAATGATTAGTAGATATTGATGTTACGACGAATGTCTGGTGGCCGGCGGAACCCAAATCGTCGTCGCCGGCGAAAGTTAGATTCACCTGCGTCCTCCGGCTTATATTGTAATAGCATAACGCTCGCCGGCTGAAATAGTGTTAAACAACATTCTTTGAGGGGCCTTCGGCGAAGGCACTAATACACTAGGATTCACTGCTGAGGGTGTATAGAAGTACAAGAAAGAGATTTTCTATCAGGGGATGTGGGGAGACAATTTCTTTAAAGATTTGTTTGTTACAACTTGAGTTACAGCGCTGAGACCAACAAATAACTTCTCTAATTTGGACTTAATTAATGACGAACTATTTGAAACTGTAAATTATAATTATCGGACCTTGAGGCCAGGGCAGGGAAGGCGGGGTAGTTTGCAAAGCGGAAGGAGGGGAAGTCCTTTTCTTGCTCTAGCCTTGCCTCAAGGTTAAAGAAGTGTTAATTTATTTAGATTAGATAGACTGGTAATACTATAGAGTTGGAATAGAGGTCTCATTGACGTCTCAACACTGTTGTGATAAAAGACTTGTAGAAATCGCCTCTTCATATATCCTGATAGAAGAAATTTAAAATGAGAAAATGGCCTACCTTCAATCGCACAGATGAGTTTGAAGGAAGATTAGGACAGGAACACAACACTTGCAATGACATTCGTAATGTAAAGTTATCACATTGATCATTACATTTCTCACAGCGATACTTCTCACTGTTATCTCCTAAGCTCAGCAATTCATTCTCACAAATACCGCAAGCTGGCCACATGAAAGCTGAATCCTCATCAACACCAATAATTGTCCCTGTCAAAATAAAAAAAACAATTTGATCCGGTATGTTTAAAGACAAGGCATAATGCAGGTATTGTACTTCTAATTTTAGAGGTGTGATTACTGCTTTATTTAAACTGATTCACCATACCGGAGAAGACAGCCAAACTTCTTGGTGAGCTGTCTTTTTGCAAATTTGGCAAAGTGGGACTTAGATTAGCCAAGCTATTATTAAATTTGGTATTGTGAAAGTCCTCAATGAAGGATAAATCATCACCACCCAAAGAGGATATTCTTGAATATTTGTCAACTCTTAAGTCACCTGCTAGATGATAAAACAATAATAGCTCAAACAAAAATTCAGTGATCAACCGAAGACCGCAATTGAAGCTGTTACTAACTTACTAGGGTCTATTTCAAGGTCAAGTATTATAAGAACCGGAGACTTGAAAATTACTGGGGACAAGAATGTGGTTGGATTTACAGATATAACTGTAATGCATGGCGAAGTTTCAGTGTCAGTAACATAAAGTCTTTCATAAGTTGTGTGTAATCTGCGACACACAATGTTCACTCTTGTTGGTTCAGGACTGGATATTGGATCCTAACAAAAAAAGAAAGATAAATTTAAAACAGATTTATACATACTTAAAAACACTTTGAAAGTGCCAACCGTGAAATATATGAAACAACAGAATTCACCTTGATCAAAATTTTTGTTAATGGAGTGAGATTAAGTTGGATTTTGTCAAACATTTTCTCAGATTCCACAGCTTTAATCTCCCACTCTGCAGAAGATGCGGCCAGTACATAGAATACAGGTTGATCACAAGGTTTTGCACATATATTTGAAACAACTCTCCATAAATTGGAAACCCTGCAAACAAACACAAAATATGATTTCATATCTGTTGTTGTGAAAAGGTATGTATTACATGGGGGCAAAAAAAGTAGAAACTTGTAGCTTTGCACAAACCTGAATGGAGATATTCTCTGAGCTGGGAAAAAGCCAACAAAACTAAATACTTGACCAATAGCAAGTCCTGTTTTGACTAGAGACCAAATGCTGTCACTAAAAATGATAAATAAATGCAGTAAAGTGTTAAAACAAATCTGCACTAGTAATTTAATACAAAATTTAACTTAACACAATTTTACCTTCCTGATGTGACTGTGTTCATCTGCTCACTTCCAAGCAAAACCTCACACACCTCTCCCACAACATCTTGTCCCAAAAGTGACCAGCAAGGATAATTACTTGAAACCTTATCTGATACAGCTTGCCTGTAGTGGTAATGAAAGTTTTGTCACATAACATTCTGTTTAATCAGTAGATCAGAGATATCTGACATCTACCTGAATTGAAATGTTCGTAGTATTGTTAGGTTTAGGGTATCACATGTAGCTCCAACATAATTTGAAACAAGTGATGAAATTGTGCACAGATTAGCAGGACCCTCAAAACCTTTGTTAAAATCATACTCATCACTTTGATTTGCTGTGGTGCACTGAAATATACATGTTGGCCTTTCCACAATTTTGGGGAAGATAATATCTGATAGACTAGCTCCTAGAAAACACTCATATCCTGCAATGGTCAGACAAGTAAAAATAAAACTCATGTTCGCAATTTTAAAAATTATTTTTGAATGTTTAAATGGTATAAATGAATAAATTATACCACCATCTTTTATAGGAACAGTTGTAGTTTTCTCAGGAATAGGTAAACTTCCCATGAATTCTAAAAATTCTGCCTGAATAACTTCAATGCAGTATGCACAGAGGATCAATGAGATGCCTTGTAATTTCAGAGCTTGCCTGTGAATAACAAAGCAGGTTAGAACTAGGCTTTTTTTTTTAAGATACAGTAATGAACGTAGTGCTGTAGAATACTGTTGCACAAACCATGGAGGAAACACACGGATTTTTTTGGCAGACATAATTTTTCCAAGTTTATCTGCAACTTGTGGGTCAAGTACCAAAACTACATGGTCTGATAAAGAATTAAGGCGATTAATTACAGTTCCTGAGCTCATATCTGTAGAAAAACACAATGCACACATATAAAGTTCCTCAATTTTAAAAGTAGTACAAGCAAAGCTTTACCTGAAAGAGCTTTTACCGGACTCAACAAAACCCTGAATAATAACATGTGAGTATTCAATCCATGTGTGGTGAACAGTTAAAACCATTGAAGTATTCCGTGTGTTGTTGACAGTAGGTGTATAACTTGCTTTGCTCTCTTTAGTCCGTTTAAATTGCCAAATGCGGGAAGAAGAGCGGTGACGGTTGAGTAGTCGCTGAAGGCGACTTGCAAGTCCATCCCTGAAAATTAAAATTACCAAAATTATTGACTGATTGACTGGTGAAAAAAATGAGGAACAAACAGAATCTGATATAAAGTCTCACGGTTTGAGTTTCTTTTTCCCTTTTTTTGGAGGTGCATTGTAGTCATCAGGTACTGTCTCTGCGGACAATCCAGAGACCACAACAGGAGCCATGGGGCTACTAGATGTTTGTGATATTGTCATTGGAGACGACACACATGATGATGGTAACTTCTCAATCTGCAACCAAAACTAAACATAGTACTAATGCAGGAGAATTTTGTGAATAATAATAACAATAATAAAAATGTTATGTGACTATAGTGAATACCTGGGTTAGTTGACTGTTTCCAGGACTTTGTGAGGCATAGCTGTCAATATTAGCATCTTCAACATCCTCACTTTTAGTCTCTAGATAGAATGAAAGATTGATTAGAAATACTCAAAAATCTTTTAAACCACCAATGAAGAGTAACGAGAACAAACCTGATTCTTTAGTTGATGATGAACTAAGATTTGTAGGAGAGTCCCTCTTTTCATTAAAAAAATAACCAGGTGATGAAAAAGCATCCAGTGAAGCACTTTCCATAGGCTCTGAGTTTTCCTCCTCAATTAGAAGAGTGCAATTTGTAGACATCGTTGCAGGTTGAAACTGTCTATTCCCTAAGATTTCTTCCTTTTTTGGAGCCTGATTACACATGTCTTCAAAAACATCAAACTGTTTCAAATTTGAATAAAAATCATGCCCAGTTTGATAGGATTTTCCTTTCACTTCAATTTCTTCTGGCTTGATAATTTTAGAACATTTACTTGAAATGCTTTGTTTGGAAACTTGTTTCTTTGACAAGCTAAGCTTTTTCTTCTTCTGCAACTGAACAGGCGTTTCAACTGATTTGGATACATTGTCAATGTCAATTTGTTCAGTATTTATCTCTTCAATGAGTTGGCTACAGCCAAAACCTGGAGAGTCTGCTTGAGATAATCCAGCTTTCTGGGAGAAAAATTTATCACTGTTGTCACTTACATGATCAGAACTGGTTTTCTTACATTCAATTTGAGATTTTTCTTCAGCTATGTCTTTTATGATGCTAGTATTACAGCCAATATTTTGATTTCCAACAGAGAAATCTAAGGAGCGCTTTGCTGTAGCTAAATTTTCTGTGGATACTGATGAAGTTATTTCAAAGTTAACATCAGAATTAGAGGATGCATTAGGTCTCTCATAGGGCAAAGATGTGTTTGAATTCACAGTGCATGATAGTTTACTGTTAGAAATTATTTTCTGAATCTTGTAAGGTCGACTACTTTTGGGTTTTGAACCAAGAATTGGTGATAGTAATTTATCAACAACCATAGCCTTTCTACGTTTAGTGGACGACTTTCCAATAACAGGAGATGAGGGAGTACCCAAAAAAATTTCTGAGCCCATCTGAGCCATCACTGTACTATTTTTAGAACCTATGCATGAGGCATTTTTGTTTGGGCAAATAGATTCATCACTTTTCTTTTCTAATATCACAGATGATTGTTGAGGAGTCTTACGAGAACTTCTTCTTCGGCGACTAGTTATCTTGAATACAGGAGATCCAGGTAATAGACCTGTTGAGGATTGCATGGATGAATCCCCCTCATTCAAGCTGATAATCTGTTTAGAATTCCGATTTCTCTTCCTTTTAAAGTTCTTAGCTTTTCCACTCACCAAAATTGGTGACCTAACATTGTTTTCTTGACTTCCTCTATCAGTGGGTGAGATTTGAGTACTGCCAATCGACTGCTCAGATGACAAAAGGCTAGCAGCATTTAATGAAAGATTTATTCTTTTGTTTAAAATGGATAGATTATTTACCCAATTAGGCTCATCAAATGATTCTGATGCGTTTATAGGATGTTCTACAGAATGAGAACTGTCAGGAATAATGATTGATTCCTCTATTTTATGACCAGAGACTGCGTGACTCTTATTCTGTTCAGTCTTGAGGCGCTTCTCAACAGAACGGACAAACTGAGCTGATGAGTGCCGTCGACCTCTACGTTGTACTCTTTTGCAGTCACTAAAATTGATGTGGGATGCAAGGGTGCGAGTAGGGCGAACAAGTTGGGAATTTGACTTATCTTCCTCTCCCTCTGATGAACTCCACGATATTGCCTCATCAAGGTGACTTGAATCTAACTGAGATAGAATAGAAGAGCAGCGATGAGACAAGCTTCCTTTCCCTTGGCTAAATACCTCAACGCTCTTTTTCCATCCCTGCAAATTTTATTAGTAAATTGCATCAGAATTACACTTTAGCGAAATCAAAGGAGTGTGTAGTAAAAGCTTACCTGGAAAAACAATTTCTTGTGGACATTGCTTGCAGTGATTATGTGCATATCCTCATTGTTGTTAGAAGCTGAATTCGGCATCTCTAAACCTCGATCGGAAGTGTCACCTTCAATTAGTTGTAATGCATGTACTGTAACCCCTATGAACAGATGTACTAGAGGTAGTCGGGGTTTGCGTTGTGACATGCTCAAATATTACTTATTTATGTTCCACTAACCTCATTGGTGAAATAAGGAGCTGAGTCGGTAAAGACGACCTCTTCGAAACTTAGAAGAACGATGTTTTTCTTAACTCACTTCAAGTTGAAAAGTTGAAAGACACCGCGGCAAAGCAAACCAACAATAACAGTCATAATATTGTTGTGGGTGTGTTCCACAACCAGTAAATACGAGCAGCAGCAACGTGTTTTTTGTTTCATTTATATCTATTCATTTATTTCTTTTATATTTTATTTCTTATTTATTCTTCATTCATTTATTTTGAAAAAGAGGAATCTCAGAGTTTTCAGGTAGGATCTGGATCTGGCCATAGCCGACCAGTCTTGGCTGATTGCTGATTTTTTAGCAGGCATTTGTTTGCGAGGTGAGGTCACGACTTTCTGCTGCGCTGCGAGTAGTTCGTTGTTCCAGCAGTCAACCTTCGTCGTTTAGAAGATATTTATTTTCTGAGCAAAATGATTGCCTCAGTGGGATCAAAGGTGGCAAGGGCAGTTACTACCAGAAACTTTTCAACTACCCTCCAGAGGCTCGATGCTCATGGCCCCCAGCAGTGGCCCAAACCTGGCTCAGTAAGTATTGCACTTAGGTTATCTTCGTCTGATAAAGTTGGTTTTTTATCTCTATTTAAAATCTGCAGCATGTCACATCTGAAATTTACTCGTACGGGTATATGGGTACTAGTTTGAATATTCTTTTAATACCTTGAGTTCAACTGAACTTACGTATTTCTATCCACTATCTAAGAAAAGACATCATGCATCATGTCTAACAATACCAACTGAATTTCAAACGACGTAAATCGCTTTGCAACAAACTGTGTCATTGCTGCAATTTTCTTTTTCTGTGACACTCTTTCGGAATCCTTCATTTTACCTCACTATTGTTACTCAGCTGATATTTGCTCTGTGATTTCTACAAGTCTTTCTTTCCTTAGAACCTTCCCTTCAGCATCAAGAACAGGTACAAGTTGACTTTGTATTACTGTCTCTTTGCTGGTTCTGCATTTGGTCTGCCCTTCTACTTCTGGACCCAGAAGGTTTAAGTTTTAATTTAGGTAAGTTTAAGAATTTTCTGCTCTAACATATTGGCTAGTCGCAAGTCTAATATAACAAATCTTTTTCCAGGGACAGCGATATAGCACTAGGAGAATGTCTGTAAATTGTTTCAGCAAAAATTGTTAAATGTAATTCTCATTACTCTGTAAATCAACATCTGGAAATGTGAAAGAAATATATTCAATAACAGTAACCAGTTTACAAAGGAAGAAGTTTTATTGAAACTTACAAACAAATCATTCTTTGTATCATTTTATACAATTCAAAACTCAGGTATTCTAAACATCCAATAAACTATTACATTGTTCCCAAAAGGCAGAATATTTTTCTAACATTTCATTACAACTTTTATCAGTCTTATGTATGTTCAAGACTTGAATTAAGTTGCTGTAACTGAGGTAAGGATTAGGAACCTTCTCCCTCCTCACAGTAAATTCTTCAATCCAATTCGAAAGTTCATCCAATTCGTCAGCATCAGTATTTTGATCTGCACAAGGTAATATGACACCTTGATTACCAGTTACAGATTCCGTATTCCTTGTAGCTGTATTTTTAGGCTCCGTCAGATCATTTTGTGATAAATCACCAATAGCAGCTTTCTGTGTAGTATGAACAGGCAGCGACTCATCTTGGAAGTCATTTGATGTTTGAGTATGAACATTTTCTGGAGAATCAAGAGTACCTTCTGGCTTTGTAACTTGCTTCTCTTTCAAAAGTCTATTTACTTTACACTCTTGAAGAAACTTAAGCTTAAACTCAACTTTGAAGGATTTCAATGAATCAACTGAAAATATGTCATTTTTGAGAGATTCAACAGTTGCAAGTACTTGAGCTCTTTTACATTCATCAGTGGTGTTCCATTTCAACATCCAGAATAACAATCCTGCTGCCAAATAAGCACGTAAGCTACTTTGCAAAGACGACGAAGGTGATGCAAACATGGAATCATTCTGCAATGGACCTGATGTAAAAAGGAATTAGCGAGTAATCAGAGTCAATACCTAGCATCAGCACATCAGTACATTAGTGATGAAAAAAAAAAAAAGTCATACCTCTAGGAGCAAGCCACATGCATACTCTGAGAAAGATTGGAACACCACTTTCATTCTTCATACTAGTAATGTGGAAATGATATAGAAGAGCCATAGCTTGAACAAGATGCCGATATGCACTCTGCAAATTTTGTCCTTTGTCGAGAATATCTTCAATGAGGAATCTCTCTTTAATTTGTGGGAAAAGATCTGGTGCTGCTAAATATGCCTGGGTAAGCTTGCGGCTTGCAGCTAACCAAGCTGTTTCTTCATTGTTTACTGTGATTTCATTCACAAAATCATTTTCTAAAGCAAGTACTTTATCTTTAGACAAGCAAATGGCTACATGTACATCATCCTCTTTGGTCTCTAAACCTGGAAAAGTTTGAACCTTGTTTAGCAGAGGTACTTTACCACATGAACACTCAGTGAGAAACATGTTACCTGATGTGTTCTTTAAATTTAACCAATCTATTGGTGAGAGTGAATCTTTACTGCTATATAGCATTTGGTGCATAAAGAGTCGAAGGGCCTGATGATTCAAAGTAGGATACAGATTTAATATGGTTTGAGCTGCTGTCCAATCCTGTTGGCAGAGGGAAAGGTCAAAACATTCGCGGGCATAAAATATGCCATTTGTTTGATCAGGGCTCTTCTCCTTCATAATTTGTGCGGCAAGTACGAGGCGACTAGGAATTTTCTTCAGAGCAAGACATTCAGCTGCTTTTGTCCATTCTCCACCGGATGCAAAGCTTTAAAGATAAATTAACGAATGAAGTTCTTGAAAATCACATTTTCTTCACGTTTTACTGCTTTAAATAATTTACATACCAAACTGCAGCAAGACTTTGTTGACCATTGTTTAAACTTCGTTGAGCCCACTCAGTGAGGAGGGTCTGAACTAAAGGGCTTTCAGCAGGTAAACGGCAACGGGCGATTGCAAGAGCATGTCTGTACTTTCCATTCTCTGCCAGCAATCTAACAGCTTCCTCATATTTATGAATTGCAAGAAGATAGACTGAGGCTTTATCGAATTCCTGGATTTCCTTTAATTGATCAGCATATACTGCACAAGCCTCAACCCACATTCTGTAAAAGAAGCAAGTATTAAAGAAATGAAGGAATAAATCTAATCTGATCTGATCTTGCCATTTCAAACCTTTAAATACAATATCGTACTTGTGGGACACTGATGGTGCTATGGATATAATATAACTATTCACAGTTCTTGTTCTAATAGCTTCAGCAATAGCATCCTTAGGAGATCCTCTCCAGACATTTAGAGTGAAGCTAAGTTCATTGTTCGCCACAGATTTTGTTTCTTTAAGTAAATACTGATCAACAGCAGACTGATCAGCAAAAAATGCATAATGTGTGGGTAACTTTCTTTTATGGTTTTCATCATCAGACATTGTGAACTTGAGATCAGAATTGTCAGCTGCATATTGACAGAAAGTAGATTTAAATTTAAGTAATCATAAAAAATACAAAGCTGAGATGGTTGAAAATAAAATAAGTACCGCACCTGTTGGATGAAGAAGGAATTTTAAAATAGCTATATTGCTATCTTCATTTTGCATATCTGGACCACTAAGAGACAAGATAGCCTTTTCTTTCTTGGTTTTATTTTTAGGTTTCGTTGGCTCACTGTCTCCATTAATGGAAGAATTCACACCTGTTTAATGGGGAGAGATTAGTGAAAAGTTTGCTAGAATTACTTTGGAAAGTAACTGCTACAATTGAATGACAAGTAAACTGACCATTAACAAGATTACTGAAAGAGGAGCTAGCCTCTTTGGCTTCGTCTAGTAAATTAGGGCCATCCTTACTCTTGGCTATTGGTAACTTGATTTCTTGGTCGAGTACATCCCAAACATTAACACTACCTTCCATGCCAGCTGTGATGGCCAAAGAGGAGTTGAATGGGCTCCACACACAACAAAACAGAGGAGCACTATGAAGAGTGTAGCATGCAATGGGTTTACGATTAATAACATCCCAAACCTGTGGGGAATGGAAAATAAAAACAATCAGAGAAAATTTTCTAACAGTGCAAGTGGATAACAAGCAACACCCCGCAGGTATCTGAGGCAGTTAATGGCAAGATTTTATTACTGTACCTGAGCACACTGGTCATATGACACAGACAGCAGACGACCTCCTTCATGAGGACTCCATGCCAGTTTGGAGACTCTCAGCTTATGTCCTTTCAAAGTTGCAATACATGGGACATTGGAGAGAGCAGAGGGAAGAGAATTGTTATCACTTTCACCCAGCTTTCCCTCAAGGACAGAGGTGACATCAAGAATACAAATGTTAACATCATTGGAGGCAGTAGCAAGCCAATTGCTTTGAGGAGACACATCAGAAGTGTCTGAAGAACAGCATTGAGGGTGCCATGAGAGGTCCTGGACTAATGAAGAATGCACCTTTACCGATGTCACCAATATCAGTTCATCACTCTCATCCAGTTTAATTAAATGGATTGAACTGAAAAGGAAAACAAAAAAAAAGTAATCACAACAGTCAAGACTACCTTTTTTATAAATAACATACCTACACCAGCCCATCAAAACCCATAAAAAATCTTGTACCCTGTTTCATCTCCAAGAGCCAGTAGAGAGTAATCTGGTTTCCATGACAAGTCTGTAAGTCCAACAGTCTTACTTTTCGACTTGAGGTTTTCAATCTTTGGAATTGATTTTAACACACCCTAAAGTAAAAAAATAATTAATGAGAATAAATGGGTCGACAGGGGTAAGTGTGTAAACAAAAGGTTTTTAGCACTTTTTAACAGAAGCAAATCTTTTTGAAACCACTTTTATCAAAATATGATCAATGTGGCGTTAAATAAAGTTTTTTTTAAATTCAGTATAAAGAGGGTTTTGTACAAATAGACATGAAAATCTTGTAAAATACAAAAAACTCAATTTACATACAAAAAAAAAAAAACATGTGAAAATGTTTTTATTTTTTCAAAAAAGAAAAGTGACTTTTATTTTACTGCACAAGTTACAACCAAATTCCACTGTCATTTTGTAGCCCTCTTGATACTGATTCTCAAAAACTTTTGAGTAAGTCAATTTTTGACAGATATCTTGCACACAAACTTTTTAACTTAAAAACACAAATGTCAGCATGCTTTTGGCTAAGAATGAGTCAATCTGACTGTTAAAATGTTATTTTAAGTCCAATGATTTATAGCAAAACTGTATTTTGAACCATATTGATAATTTTTTGCTAAACAAGGTTTCAAAAGGATTTAATTCTGAAGGAGTGCTCTATACCAGCTGAGCCCCTTAAATTGGTTGATGATATTGAAGCATCTTGATTTACCTCAAACACTCCATCAAAAACTTGGTCTGGTTTGCTAGGATCCATGGCAGCAATTTTTCCTCCACCAATGGCATATAATACATAACGAGATGCTTTCACTTCAGTTGCGCCCTCCTCAGAATATTCAGAAGGCTCAAATTTAACCTTGATTGAGGCTAAAGAAGGTCCCCATTCCATTGAGTATATACTCTCTTTAGTGAAAGGTCGAAAAAGTAAAGGAGGTTTAACAGAACATGTGAACTGTATACCTATTCGACCATCAGAGGTGCCTAGAATTCATCAATAAATTGAAAAAAATCAAATAGCTTCACTTAAAATATCCTTTAGAAAATTTTGTGAAAGCTCATACACTTACCATAAGCAAGCCAACCATCCTTTGACGGATGCCAAGAGAGAGACATAACTTTTCCACTTACTTTCTGGTTGAATGTTTGCATTGTTTTCAACTGAGGTTCAATAAGGTTGATTACTCTTATAGATTTGTCGGCAACTCCAATAGCCAAACTGGAAAATAAGAAAGTACTAATGAGGTATTGTTGCTGTTATAGATTACAAATAATTAATTTTTTATACTAGCCTTGTTCCATCAATGGACGATATAGACATGGCATGAACTGGACCTCCGATTGTATTCACTTTGATGGGAGAAAATCTCTTTTCAGAACAACTAACTCCAGAAATTAAGCGATCTGCCCCAAAAGTCCATACCCAATGAGGTACAGCCTCCTTCTTTCGCCAGTCTTCCTCCCTACAAATCAGGAGATCAGAAACTTAATATAAAAGAGAATAAATATCAGTATCAACAAAATATAGAATGTATTAATAAGTACATACCCTGCGCCATTCATCATTTGCCAAAGGCTACTTTTAACAATAACATGGCATCGATTGTGGCTATCAGAAAAATGCTCCCACTTGGGCACTTTTTCAGTCACTTTTTTTGACTTTAGTTTTGATACATCAATTGATAAAACTTCTCCAACAACTGTAGATACTAGCAGTTTTTGTGGTTCAAACCAGCTAACACATGTCCATTGCTTCATTGCAGCTTGTGTCCTGATACACAATGAGAGATTAGAAGAAATAAAAACATCAATACACCAAAACCATAGCCGTACCAGACAGAAAGGACCAAAAGAAAGGATAAGGATAGATAGATAGATATATGTAAGGGTATATATGTGTGTACCTTGGTGCAAATGGTACATCTACATAGGTTTCATATAGACCATCCTGCCCAGCTCTCCAGAAGTAAATCCTTTTTTCTTTGGCCCCAGATGCAAGCAACATACTGTCCTGGTCATTTTTGGAGTTAATGACATTTTCCTTGACAGGGCACCAGGATAAAGAAACTACATCTGTATCATGACCTCGCAGTTTGTGGAGAATAAATTCCTTTCCTGGAACTAACGAGCACAAACAATCAATAACCAACGGCATTAGTGACTCCAGCTGTAATAAATGGAATAATAATGTCTTACCCTTTATATTTACAACACAAACTAGGCCTTTCTTAGTACCAGTTGCAACAAGTGTCTGGTCATGAGGAGAGCAAGATACAACTGTGAAAGCATGCTCTTTGAACTGTTTGATGCTTGTTTTGTTGGGTTCTATTTTCCATTGCAAAAGATTTCCATTTTCATCTGCTAGTACAATCAAATTACCATCGACAGGAGACCAGTTTCCAAGTATTGCACATTTCTATAAGATTAGATAATGGAGTTCAAACCACAATAAAAGTCATGGTAATACAGCATACAGTAATGAACTGTTAAATAGAGTATTTGTTTTCCTTGCGTACCTGAGGATGTTTGTAAAACTGGGCTATTTTTCGTGAGTTCAAATCCCACACAAAAGCTTCACCAGACTCGCTGGTTGACAACAATTTGTTACCAAAGCCATGGGGAGGAAATGATACTGATAATACTTTAGAACTATGTGCATGATTTATTGTCACTGGATTTAAGATGTGAGAGGGATCAAGTATCACCAAACTTGACAGAGAGCCATAGGCTACTCTACTGTCAGAAGATATATCCAAAACTTGTGACAGGTACCAGTTGGGTGATCCTGCTAAGATGCACTTTTCCATTTTCTTGGACTGCACTAAACAAAAATAAATTATTCAATACATTTGAGATAGTTATTACAATGACATACAGAACATCTTGGAAACCTCATGTTCGTGAACTAATACTTCTAACCTCACCATTAACATGCTTTAACACTACTTAAAGTAGGCCAGAATGTAAATATATCACAATAATGTTTAATGAATTTAATTACCTACAAAATGAATCACACTATCTGTATCAGATGGTGAATCCGATGACAGTTCAGTTAGCCCGGCATAACCTATAGCTAGTGCTCAGGCAAACGTACACCCTACGAATATTTGGTTTGTTTTGTTCCCGCTACCAAACCGGATGAACTTAATGACTCAAGTTACGAAAACATACAACAATAAAATATCAAGCATAGGATGTAGATATTGTTTAAATTTAGCGTGAAATGATGTTTTTTTAACCAAAAGAATAAAGAAAATGTAAGGCGAACTTTGATTTGTGATCAATATAAGACACTAATATGGAACGCTTCTTTGAAATTTTCTTTCTTCAGATGCCTATCGTGCAGTATACGGTGTGGGGAGAGGAAACGGAATTTTGGCAAAATGTTTGGAATTTATATCGTAGATAACGAAAATAATCAATACGAAGTCGGTGTTTTACTGATTACAGAGAAGGTGCAAAATATAGTTTCTTCGGAAAAACATTAGGAAGTTGATAGACTGACTTTCTTCATTTCATAATTACTTTATCTTTGTACTTGGATGTCCGTGTTCAGAGTTACAGAGATTTATAGATACATTAACCTCAAGTTATGTTGATCAACTCCCCAAGTGCGTTTAATTCATTGGGCTGTTGTGAATATATTGGCAAGTCATGTTGATCAACTCCCCAAGAGTGGCTAATCCATTGTGCTGTTGTGAATATATTGACAAGGATGGCAGGAGGAATCACATCCTGGCTTGTTGCTGCAACTGCGTGGAATTAGACAAAGCAGTAGACAAGTAAGTGAGCACTGGAGCACTATCCTCCGATAGGTTTTTTTTGCTGTCAACCAATGGGTTTCATTTACTGCTGCTAAATTTGTGTTGTATCTGTCGTTTTATCTTTGTTTTTCAGAATATGCTGCTGCCGTAGTGAAGGACATCTTTCGTGTGATCGTGTGCTGCTGTCTATGATGGATAGATTACGCTTTCCATGGCTTGGTGGGGCCATCCAAATATCCTGTGATATACTACTACCTGTGGTGTTTTTACCCTGTCTTCTTGCATTTGCTGCTCTTGGCTTTTCATGTACAGTCATTGCCTTTTTATCATTACCACTTCTTGCTTTTCAACTTAAACAAGGCAATTTTCGACTTACCCAAAGCTCTAGGTTCTGTGTCGCATGGACATATAGTTCCTTTGCTCTTAATTTCCTTATATACGAGCTGTTGGTTGTTCCATTCCTAGAGATCAGCCCGCTAGAAAATTGGGTTGTTATTTTGACGTTTTGGGCATCATTAGCTCTTCTTCTGAAAGTACAAACATCTAGAGACTCTCTAAATATACCTGGTGATGTTGAGAGTGTTGGATCTAATTTGTGTATTACAAAGACAGTCACTTGTAATGTCTGTGAAAATTATATTTTGCCCAGGATGGCACATTGTGCAATCTGTCAGAAATGTGTTCCAGGGCGTGAACTTCATTGCTTGTGGTTAGTTGCTTGGTGATATTCCTATTTGATGTTTTCAAACAAAGTTGCCCATTTTAATTATAAATCGTTTTTATAGGTTTGGCTGTTGTATTGGCTCTCACAATCTGCGCTGGTTTATGATATGCCTCATTTTGATGACTTTTAATCTACTGTACAGTTCAAATCTCATCCTAACAACAGTATGTCGTCCGTACAGAGCTTTTGGTTCTCTTTTGCTGCCTGAAGATTGTAGCGAAGTTTATTATGAATTCAGGTAAGATTTTAGAGCAGGCCTGTAACATACCATAGATGTCATATAAGCATACCCGATAATAATTTTTATCCTCTTTTTTTCCACAGATTTGCCCTTTGTTTTGTCAGTGGATTATACTCATTGATGATGTCTGTTGTTTCAATCTTTTCCTTTCTTAGACAGTGTTTGTTAATTTCCTTGGGATTGACTGGCAATGAATGGAGGACCATGCCTCTTTCTCATTTACTGAGTTTAGGAATTACTGCCCCTCGACCTTATAGTCATGGAATCCTGAAAAACTGGTTTTATTTCTTTGTCCGCTGTAGAGCTCAACAATAGAAAATTTTGAAAGTATGAGCTTTATATCAATTTTGTTATTTGATGTGTCGCTACTACACTTTCTAACTTGCCTTTGCTGAGACTGATGGTTTCACTGACGGCGCACTGCAAGGTATTTGTTCTTTAGTATCCTAAGTCTTACTAGTATATTTCTGAAAACATATCTTCACTATCTTATCTTCAGCACTATTTAAATTTCATAAAGAATTAATCTTAAAATAAGTTGCATTCTGTGATTTCATTCTCCCTTTATTATAAAATAAAATGTGTGTACTGAATGTATGTATGTACTTCTAGCAAGGGGTACATCACTTGGTTCAGTCAGTGTTCAGATCTCCCACAAGTCATTTTCCCAGCCGTATTCAGTCACTTCCCGTCATTTTGTCTCTTAGTTTTTCAGTTGTGTCTACGCACCAAACCTATGCATTTCACTGTGCATAAACCTGGAAGAAAATAGCTTAGTCCATGCATAACTTTTTAGAATTTGTTCATAGCTCTATACAAAGTAGGCAAATAAATGTCTGTTTAAAATTCTGCAAATTTATGCACAGCTAGGTGTTAATAAATTTGTTTGCAGGCAATGTCTACAAGTATTATCCAGAGTTCTTCCCTTTGCAAACCCAGTCACATCCAAGCACATATTCAAGCTTATGACCTCTAGTCTGTGTGCACTCATTTCCACTGTGATGTACCCCATGACTTTTTATATTGGCTCAATTTGCACTGTTGTTGAGAGTGTTATCATGTTCATGTAAGATTCCATTCGGGTAGATTCTGGAGGGTCGGTCCCCTGTGTAGAGGGTCCCCCCTGAATTTTTTATTGTTTTTTTAATAGTTTTCATTAAAAAATGAGTTTTAAACAATTTAATATTAATAAAATATTAAAACATTGTTTATAACTAATTTTAAAGGAAAGAGTGAACTACAAATTTGTCATATTGCTTCCTAATGTGCTGTATCTTATACTCTTGCTCCTGACATGGGTGTTTCTTGCTAGTTCTGATCTATCTAGCCGATAGCCGGCTATGAAAATTGAGTGTAGTGTTCTCAATTCCGTACAACTTTTTCTGGAGTGTAGAAAAGTTGCACTCTTTCATCATAATGTCAAACAAAAGTGTTATGGTATTCCCCTTGGATACAAAAGGGCAGAGTCCAAGTGTCCATAGCCAGGTGAAATATACTTTTAATACACAGTCATTAGAATTGGAGGAGATAGGCCGAAGGTCAGTTGTACTTGGTTCCGTCCTTCATATCTGATAATAGATCTGTTCAAACCTGCGTTGCACTGGGTGCTTTTGTATGAACAAATATAGTCCTGCACATGATGTACCCAAAAGAAACAGATCAACATTTTGTTTGACTTTTGGATGTGTTAAGCACTTTGTAAGTGTGCAACATTTTAACACTTCAGAAAAAGTGCTACTGAATTAAGAACAAAGCCACTCATTCTCCTAGCCAGATGTCTACTAGACAAATCGCAATTGACAATTAACACTCATGTTGTGTGCAAGAGTGGAAGAAACAGAACATTCGGAAGCAGTATGGAAAATTTCTCGACACCTGAAGCCTTTGAAAACATTTCTGAACAATATTTAAATATTTAATTAGTATTTGCCATTTGCACACTACAAACTAATTTTATAGTTAAAATAATAAAATATTAAGGGGGGACTCTCTAGACAGGGGACCCTCCAGATGCTTCCCTTCCATTCCATGTCTCTTTTAAGTATCTTTCTATTGTTTAGTACTTAAAATATTGTTTTTTGTAGCGCTTTTGCTGTTGTGTAGGTTGGCCATCTGTTAAATTCTTCAATAAGTCTAGTCTCTAGTGACAATGTTGTGCACTCAGTTTCTTTAGGTAAAGTTTAGAGAAGAATGGATCAAGAGGGAAGTGGGCGGCCGTTCACAAATAACGTCACGCTTATTTGGACAATATTTTGACCCCACGGCCCCCATTGTCGCAGTTAGTCACGATTTTGCCTCACCCTACTCGCATTAAGGGGGTAACGCGAGGGGTCGACCACTCATATTTTTGGTGTACATGGTGTACAATATTTTGTGGAATATCTGAAATATTTTTGGAATATTTGGAATACTTTTGGAAAATCTAGAAATTTTGAGTGGAATACCCGGAATTCTTTTGGAATACCTGGAATATTTTTTGGCGGGAATATCCAAGGTCTACCCCTCGGGGTGAAGTCACAGACTAGTGATCTAGTGACGTTACATTTCCTCAGTGATTCACCGGATGGCGCCGGATGGCGCGCCTCGTTCGAAATTGATGATTGTTTTCACCGCGCGGAGTGAGTAACGGTGTGACGTCACAGGGATCACAAACGTAACCCCCCCCCCCCGTTGTCACAATAACTGGTCACAGATTCGCTTACCGCACCCACCCCTCCTAAAACTGTGATGTATTTTCTGAATGGCCCCTCAGTGAGTGTACTGTCTTTTATGTAGATATTATACGTGAGAGCGATGTTGCCGCGTTAAGATGGAAGACCAGTAGTTGTTTAATGTTTTGGTGAAAATAGTCGTAATTTTGGTCTTCGTCTTCACGAGACTAGAAAAGCGTACTTAAATTCAAGTGTGAGGGTCCGACAAGTCCGAAGAGTGTGGAATGCACGCGTTTAGGAATCCCCGCCTCGCGAGGACTACAAACATGGGGTTATCATTGGAGTATGATACCTTTTAAAATTGTTGCATATCTGTGTTCCTCTAGTCGTGTAACTCTATCTTTTTCTTAATAAACTTTTTTGCGTTGAAGTTTTACATTTCTCTGCCCACAATCATTTGAATGTTGCCATCTTCGAGCATTGCTTCTCGTGTGTCACAATGAGATGCCAGAGCGAACCTTGCAGCTTGCGACAATATATTTCCCTTTCCCTATAACCCCAACTTTGGTCTCCGATACCCGCTAGTGACAACTCTTGCCCCGAGGCCTATGCCCGCTTATTGCGACCCCCCTCTCCTCCCGGGCAGCCGAGACATCGTCCGATGGCCCGGAGCCGCCGGAGATATTCTAAATAAACAAAACATAAACAACTGTCCAATGTTCCCTGTTTTTGCTCTTCGGCTCTCGGCAAACGATCGATTTATTTTCTTCCAGATTTCTTCCCGCCGTGGACGCAAAAGGAGGAGTGTAGTTGTTACTTTCGGTGAGCAGCAGCGGCGCTGTAGCACCATGTGCTGCACGCGGGAGGGCGGGGCGGGGAAGGACCTGACGGCCACCTCCCCAGCTCCCCGTTGACGGCTGGGAGGAATCGAGGAATAACTGGCGAAAAAGCGGCTTAGTTCTAAGGGGCCGTACCCAAACCACATGACACATTTTGGGGGAGGGGGGGGGCTGTGAAAACACCACGCTCCAACGGGTGGGGTATTTCGCTCGGCCAAGTCTCGTGACGATTGATCACGTTCTAAAATAACCACATCTTTGAAAAACAAATAGCCCACAGGGCTAAGAAATAGAGGCCACAAAAAACGCGCAGTCTTGAGCGCAGCGGTGTCGTGGCGTAGCGGCCGCGCACTGCCCCTGCTGCGCTGCGAGCTCTACACGCCCCCCCCCCCCCCCCCCCCCCCCCCCCCCCCCTCTGCGGCCCGCCTACGGTGCGGGAAGAGGGGGCCCTTTACCCTCTGGTAGAGACAGTCTCGGGGCCTGTCTAAAAATACTCAAAGATCCGTTTTTTGAGTGGGAAAACACTGAAATCTGCCGGTGCTTAATCGCAAAGTTACAGTACCACCAAATTAAGCTTTCCACATCAGCAATCAGGCACTTTTTGTTAAAATACTCTATGTAGTCGCAAACACGTAAAGATAACACACATGCTAAAAAAAAACACGTGAAAAGGGGGGAGGGGGTCGTGAATACACCACGGAGCACCACATGGGGGGGGGGGTCAAAAACCGGCCAAAATTCGTCACGTGGTTTGGGTACGGACCCTCATATCGACGGCCATGGTCAGGCTACTTGCGTCGACTGTCTGCGAGAGGGCGCAAGCCCAATTGAAACACCCCTGATTTTCGTGTTGTTGCCTCAAGTCCAGAGGGCCAAACCTTGAGAAGAGAGAAAAGCCAACAAGTTCAACAGTTCAACGGTGTCGTGAAAATGGGTAGCCGCAATCAGGATTGTTCGGTTTGAGACTTTGACACTGACGCCACCAATCACCAATCGTGCTACGTGCTCATCTTCGAGCACGGAAAGGCGGGGGACGGACGGCGGACCCCTCAAAGACCCCCCCCCCCCCTCCTCTTCCCCAGGCACATCACCACGTTGCCGCGGCCGGCCCCGGCCTGGACATATAGAAAGGTATTGGAGATAGTCGGTACAGTATTTGTTGTCGGTGTTTGTTTCAGAGCCTACGGCCTGTTGGGGCCTTACGGCAGCCTTACGCCATACATCACCTGGACAAGCTACCGCCGCCGCCCCGCCGCCTCTCCAGGGCCTCTGCCCCGCTGGACCCCGCCGGAGCGGCAGCCCCGGCGGCAGCCCCGGCGGCAGCCCTGGCGTATGGTAATGAGCGATTCCAGGAACCCAGCGAAGGCCTGGCGGGGCAGGGCGGGGCGAGCCTGCGGCAGTCCCTGGCAGGCCTTACCCTGCCCTCCGGGCCCTGCAAGCCCTGCAGGCCCTGCCATGCCGCGCCCCACGCGGGGCCGCGCGGCGCAGAGCCACAGACCCGCAGGCGCACAACTTGCGAGGCCTAAGGCGGGTCGGGCCTACCGCCAGAGCGGCAATGGAAGAAGGGCCGTGCGGGCTCGGGGGGCGGGGCGGGGCTGCTGGCCGTCGGCGGGGCGCTACAGCCGCACCCGAGGGAGGACCCTCTTGTGCCCACGCAACGTGGGACGCTTAGGTGGAAAAGAAATTAGCCTACAGTGCTAGAAATAGACAGTCCCCTCGATCAGGCCTCAAAGCCAATGCGCACCCGCAAAACGGCCGCCACAAACTCAAGGGCTCGCTCTGTGAGGAGGAGAGGGACGGGCGGACTTTGCCCTCTGGTAGAGACAGTCTTGGGGACTGTCTAAAAAATCACAGCGGGTTTGATTCCGCACAATCAGCGGACAGGAATCGTCTCTGAAAGGAGAAGAGACCGTGTGGGGTAGAACCACCCTGCCGCAGAAAAGGAAAAACATCAACAACAAAAACTGACAGGTTGTCTGCGTGACCCTGGTTGTCGGTGAGGAAGTGTCACAAGCAGCTGTTTTGGGGACGGAACCCTTATCCGGGCCCTCTTATGTACCTTCGCGTGTCCTGACCACCATGTAGACAACCTACAGGTCTCTCTACATCGTGGATGACGGCCGCCGCTGGGCCCGGGTCCGGCCGGGTCACCGCGCCAAGGCGTGCCGCCATCCTTGCCGCCCCCGAGGTGGCCCCGCTACAGGTGTCCCGCCCCGCATCGCCCCCCCCCTCCGCAGCCCTCCGCTCTTCTTGCTCCCGAAGTATTCCGCAAATGACCTTCCCTCCCGCCCGGAATGCCTCCACCGCTCCGCGCCACCGCGCCGTCCCGAGCCAAATTCTTCCAATAAGCGGACGACGAAATGCATAAATTAGATTCGCGACTCCCAGTCCGGGTAAGTAATGAACAACAGACAGCGCCGTCACGTGGCCTGGTCGGGTTTCGCGAGATGCTCTGGCCGGTGGCCGTGCCCTCTGGCCGTACCACGCACATACACACACTTATTGTGACCTGCAGGCACGACGACGACGCATGCGGTCCCGATCCGGTGGCGCCGCCCATACTACGTCGAAATAACCCTCCTTTGCAAAAAGCCTATGCTGCTGACCACGCAAACGCAGCAGGTTCGATTTTTTTCGTGTCGTTTTGTCTGTGCCCGCTCGTGATTTGCCCAAAGGAGGTAGGAATGAGGAAAAGACCTATCTCTTGATATTTGCCAAGAAAGTACGTCCGTTTCTCTCAAAATCATCCTGCAAATTACAGAAGCTCGGCGCCTGCAAAACTCGGGGTAGGCCACCCCGCAATACACGCATGCACGGCATGCAAGATTTTGCCTACCCATCAGGCGCTATGAGAACTTGCATTGCCTTAATTTGGAGGGTTCGTAAAGGCGAATAACGGACGTACTTTCTGGATGATCCCAAGTCTTTTCATAGGATCTGAAGCACCTTTCCTCATTTTTTTGTTTTGTTTACAAACATTTCTTAAACCTTTTTTTTCTTTCCTCGGAAGAAGGCCGGAGGAGAAGCTTGGCGCTCAAAACGAGTAGTAGTAGGAGTAGTAGTGCGACGGTTCGCAGGGCGAGACGCGGGGGAGCAGCGGCGGCGGAGCAGCGGGCCTTGGGGGAGGGAGGGAGGGAAGGAGAGGAGAAGAAGACAAACGACCACGGGACCACGCGGACATACCGATAAAGTGCCAGACAGGCAAAAACGCCAGATTGGCCGGGCGGGTCCAGAGCTCTGCCTGGACGACGGGGCGGCGGCGCGGCGGGGCCGATCGGAGTGTGTGAGTGTGTGCGTGTGTGTGTGTGTGTGCGTGTGTGTGAGTGTAGAGGAGCCAAAGGAACCGATCGCACAGTAATGCGGGAGCCTTGGCGGGTCTCTGGAGAGAGGAGTCCGGCCGCGCGCCCGAAAAATAAAAGGTGCCCCTCCCCCCCTTCCCTCTACCCTGCTCCGCCCTCTGCTCCTCTCTCGGGGCCCTGCCCGCCCTGCCGAATGTCGCCACCGAACACGCGCGTCGCCCGACGACGACGACAAGCAGATCCGACCAGGGAGATATGATATAATGATTGTCCTGCTCTTAAAGGTCGTCGGCTCTTCGCTTCCACGGTCGCCGGGGTGCGGTAGGCCGGGCCTACAGGAGGCCGGGCCTCCTCATACAAGCTGCTGGGCCCCCGCCGTGGCGCCGCTCTAGCGCCCGGGCGGTAGGCCGCCGCACCACCGCGGCCACGCGTGGGATGCCTACCCCAGGAAGGCCCGAGGCTCGCGGCGCTAAACACCAAGGGTGGACCTACTGGGTCGCGAGGTGCGGGGGGGGG